GATGTAGTTGGTCGACGAGGAACGTAGCTGGCTTTGGTGGGCAGTTCTTTAGCAGCGACTGACTTTTCCCGTTGCTGACTTTCCCCAATATTAGCGGTTCCTCTCCCGCTTTACAAAACTTTCCTGGAAAACCTGGAAAAAGTGGAAGGAATTTGGTTTGGGAACATTCAAGAACACAGTGGAAGGATGTAGGGAGGGGTTTGGCCGCGGTCACTACTTGTTCGCGGAGGACTTCGCATCTAGTCGCGGAGCGTGTATGGAACTTATTCACAAGTTGGTGCCTACGACACTATTGCTCTGAACTCTTGCGGAAGTAAGTCGTAGACAGAAGTAATAGGCCTTGAAGTGCGAGTTAGTAGACTGGCGTCAGCTCGAGGTATTCCCGAACTGAATCCCTTTCCATGAAGTGGCGAAGCATTTTGGAAGTGGATTTTATCAGGAGCCCGATTTGAATGTTTTTCACTCCCTGCACTCAGACTGTGGACGACTTTTCAATGCGTCCAATAGTTAGCTCTAAGGGGACGTCTGAGGAGTGGAAGGGGCTACCTAGTCGAACTAAGCACGTGGCATCCTCAAGTACAGTAGCGTCCCTTTTAATTCAGAAGCTGCTCGAAAGCAAACTGTACACTAATCTTATTTGTGAAAAGAATTGGCTTGCAGCAGCAGTAAAGTGCCACTTTATCCGGTCATAAGTGCACTGGAATGGGACGAGTGGTTGGTGATACCCCTCTCCGCGCTCGGCCAGACACACGCCCTACCATAGCCAAACGCGCTACACGTCTCTGCTTATGTCTTTCTTCAACACCGCGATGCACATGCATTTTCATTGTGAGATCTTGCCAATTGTCACAAGTGCGCACCTGAGGTATGCGACGGGCCTAGTATGAGTGAGCACTTGGATACCACTACTCTCTACCCCGTTCCCATGTGTTTTCGAGTAGAGAGAAAGCACGCTACTGTAGCTGCGGGCCTACGCCTCGCACATGGCGAGGACCGTCTTCAGATGTAAGCTGCTAGGGTTTCCCTTCAAACCGCAGCTAAAGTATCGCAACCAGTACGAGCGGAGGGCAAAAATAGACACTTCAGACCGCAGTCACATCACCAGCGCAAAGTTTCGCACCCAGACAGAAGGATGTGGATACGAGTACCAGGGCGAAAGATACCCAAGATGTTCCCTCGATAAGTAGGAGCAGGCTCTCATCCATCAGCTTCATGTACACCAAAATATGAAGTTACCTCCAATTCGCAGCCTGACTGGAAGAAATCCGATGCAAAACTTTCTAGTCTGCGACTTACCCATGGATGGCCATCTCGAGACCAAGTTACTCTCATCTGGAGTCTCTATCAGCTCCGGATAACCTCCTGCATCGTAGGACATTATCTTCACCGCAGTCCGTCACGGGATACGGACATTACCTGGAATGGAAAGACTGATATTTTCTTCGAAGACCCCGAACTAAAGGTGAGGGTGGCGGTTACATCAAGCAACCCGAGAAGAATATCCTCCTCATCCTTGTCGTTCCCCCAGTACTTCTTGGAACTCTTACGCCTACAGGATGGTGACACACATGAATCAAAGGACGTTTAAACTCCTCGCCTGCTTGAAATGGAAGGGCCTTGATCCTGAAGAACATGGAATATCTAAGCAGGTCACCTGAATTAAAACCCATCAGTTACCTGGTTTGGGAGGAGTTCAATAGAGTGGTCTACAGTGGCAGATAAGGATCTCGCTGAATTCGCCCAAAACTCACTGCTCGCGCTAGCAGCATCTCTCGATGCACTCTCGAGAAGCGCGTGAAGGAATCATAATAGAATTTAATACGCTCTTCATATCGGTGGTAGAGAAATGTCCGATCAGAATTTAATGAAGTGTAACTTTTAGCACCCTAAAAGTCAAGGAAGAAAAGTGTCTTTTTGGCACCCCCTGTACAGTGGTTGCCGGAAAGTCGTGTTGAGTCCTCTCCAAGTCAATGTGTTTTTGCGCAGCTCCACATCAATAGTTGCGCTAGTCGCCTGACTAGTGCGTCGACTAGCAGGAAACGGGCATGGAGCCACCGCCAGGAAAGTACATACGCAAAATAACGTACAACTCCTCCATGCCACGCCCCCCCACTCCGTCAAAGCGCAGAATGCACGAAGAGAATTCGGGAAAGCCAACAAAATTTGTAGGTGGCGCGATGAGGAACAGAAGTGTATCTGCTCGCTCGTTGACTTCTCGTGAAGAACAAAGAAAAGGAAACCGTTGAGAATGCTCTGAATAAAGTCTTACTTGTGCCGAGCGAGAGATAAGAATCGATGTGGATATTGGGCGAGAGCCCAGAGAAAGCAGCGAGAGAGTATGCAAACGAGCAAGACAGCAGATAAGACATCTATCAAAGTAGGCGGGGTCACTTCAGCAATCTTTTACCTTGCCTGCCATCTTACTACTTTTTGACGTTCCAAAGTGCACGCTTTGAGTTTCCTACCTTATCAAGTGCATGAAAGTGCAAAAAGCGCTGATATGTCTACTATGTGTCGATTGATTATTTATCATTTACGAAAAACACCACTTTCTACTTGGCCATTTACGAACGTCAGCTCCTGTTAACTTTTCCGTTTCGCAAAAAATGGTATGCTTTTTCACCCCTCTTCTTGCCTTCACATATTTTCTGAAATGGACCACTGCATACAAAATGGTCATTTTTGTACCGGACGTCACAAACAGTCAGGTGATCCGTTTGGAGAGCTATCGTGACAGATTTTTGGGTGGGTCGGCACTGGAAAATTAGTTTTTCAAGGTAATCTTCAATAATCGAATAGCGGAAACGCTTGCGAAAGCAGGTCATGACGTCACAATGGTGCTAATCTCAGGATTTGCTGACAGAGATTCTAGTGATGTGAAAATGGTGGAGGGAGTCTCAGGTGAGTCGCGTCGCGCATGTATAATCGCAGATCGTATACGTTTTCGCTGA